CATTACAAGTTGAGTGGATTTGGGAATATATTTGAACATTAGATGATAAGCAGGGTAGGATTTGAAAGCTTTTGAAAATGAAGAGAGTGATCTCACTTCTAACATGATAAGAGACAGGGAAGAGGTACATGGGGAAGAGTAATTCTGGATTAGAAAATGATGAAATGAAAATGGATGGATATTGTTATAGGTAGATTAAGGCCAATCACATCCAAATATGGATTATTGAATCTTTATTAAGGTAAGAGAGCAAATGCAGCGCTGGGGTGGCCGAGGAGTCGCAGCTCCGTCCAGGCTCACCAAATTGTTTAAGTTTCAAACCCCCTTTTATCCACTCAGCTGCTGGTTTCAACACCTTCGGCACGCCTCCTGGCTTCTTCTACAATCTTATCTTCTTTCTTCAGCCCTGTGGTCAGGTACACCTTCTCCTTCAGGTCTGGGCCAATTTGCAGCTCCTTTGTCTTTTATGGCTCAGTGGTTTCAGTTCCTCTCTTATCTCAAGGACAAGGGATACCAGGGATGGCCCATTCTGTTCTTTCTCATTCCATTGCAAAGGAGTTACCACCCTTTGATATGGATCATCTGCTGAGCATCCCAAGAGGGGGTCTGTTGGGTTGGTGTTTCCTCAGATCAATTCCCCCCTTTTCCCAGTAGTAAAGTCTTTTACTTTTCTTAACATTTGGATCATTGTACTAATAATAGCTTTAGCCTAGGAAGTAATTGTTTAATTACTTTTAGCGAAAGCAAAATTCTTCTATTACTTATCACAGATATAATCAGGGCACGACTGCACTGGAGCAGGATTCTGCAGTAACTGAGGTACAGTATGTGACAGCTTGGATGAGATTTCTGTTTGATTGAGAGGAAAGCTGCTATATTAGATATTTTACACACCTGCTGCTGACCTTCCCGATGAAGGTGGCCTATTCCATGCTATAATTCTGCCATGCCTAGAATTTGCTCTGCATCAGTGGGCTCTTACATCAGAGGTGCAAATTAAACTCTGTTCTGCTCAAAAGCCACTTCTGAACTTCCAAATGATCACCTTGAGCAGGGCTCAAGTGAGGAGGGGACAATTCAGGCCATGTGTTCCAGTATGATCTACGGACTCAACCTGTTCAGAGGATGGCTGTACTGGCTGGTGTACTTTATTTGAAGAACTTGATAGTGCAGGGGTATCAGTTCCCCAGAAATATTGAATTCAATGACACAGTAAGTTGCAAAGGACATTTTGTTGCCTAATTTCTTTAGCATTTTTAGCCGGATACTGCATTCTTGCCCAGGGCTGTTGAATGGTGTTCTGAAAGGCTCCAGCTGAATGGAAAAACCTCACTATAGATTGGAAACATTAGGGCTACCTGCAAAAGATGGAGCTATAATTAATGGTGTGTTGAGCTTTTGAAGCATGCACGTGTTGTGGGGGGTTATTTATTTATTTAATTAACTGGTTGTTCAAGTTAAATACAAGTAATATATAAAACCAATGACATGCCAACTATAAGTAAATGAATCAACATTTGTCTGATTTGTTTGTAAGGACTCAATATTTACGAAATATGATCTTAGTATTTGTTTCTATGCTCTGACCACATACCTCATTTTGTATCTTTGGTCTATTTTCAGGAGATACGAGGACAGGAGAGGGTGAAAGGAGGCTGACTTGAACCAGAATGCCTTATCCTTAAAAATGTTGTCTATGTCAAGGCAACATGAAGATGAAACTGGAGTTAATTTAGATCTGTTCATTGAATCCAGCCTCTTCATCAGAGCAGAGAAATCCCTAAATGGGCCTGTGATTTAGTTTGCAGGTTTTGAAAGGCATTTTGGTACCTGAGCCTCACTTCTGTGCTCTGATTGCCAGGCGGTTTGCTACAGGATTTAAGGATCTGCATGAATTTTCGTCATTAATCCACACAGAAGAGGGCAGAACAACTAAAACTGACACAGATAACCTCTGCTTCTTGCCGATGGTTCCCAGCTACTGATTTGTGGAGTGTAACAGTCAGAACATAAAAGCTCTTAGATAAAGATTTTTAAATTCTGTTTACATATCTGGGGTAGGTGCCCCCCTCACCTATCCCCTTAAAAACGTCATACTTCATGTAAAATTTTGCAGAAAATGTTTGTATTCCTACTCTGTCCTTTCCTGCAGTCACTTGTGATCAGATGGTTTGCTTGCTGCTGTGGCCATGTAATTTCTCAATCAAAAAGCCAGTGATTAATTTCTTCCAGCTTGTCTGACTTCCAATTTGGAAACTGAATGACCTTAAGATGGTAACTTAAGATTCAGAACTCCAGGCTTAATGTAAATCCTGAGTGGAATAACATGATGGCTCACATCCTTAAAATGAATCAATTGATATGTGATTATCTTGCACCACAAACATTTCCTTAGATCACTGGATGAATGATCTGTTTCTACTTTATCCCAAATGTGCACTTTTTTTTTTTTTTTTAAAGCCTGGAAGCTTCTGTTAACTAAGCTAGAGTGAAGTATGGATAGACAGCAGAACGGACATTAGCACAGTCCCCTTTCTAACTCAACTCCCAATTTCACAGTTATGGTTAACAATACCAAGCCACAAGAGATGAGGAAGGCGTCTCACCAGGTACCTGGGGACATGAGGAGCACAGAGAAAAAGGTCAGAGGGTTGAGTACGAGCTGGTGGCACGACCTCACCACAAATGGGACAAGTGGCACACTGGCTATGGGAGGAAAAATTACTATTCTCTCTGTATTTGGAAATGTTGGGGCTTCATATTGAATAAAGTTTTAACCTGGGCTTCTTCCAGTTCAAGAGGGGTAGGGAGAAGCTGGAGGGAGCCAGCACAGGGTTACGGAGATGCTCGAGGTCCTGGGGCATGGGAGACACAAGGAGAGGCTGGGGCAGCAGGGCTTGTTTGGCTGGGTGAAAAGCGGGGACCTCGGGGCAGCTCACTGCTATGTACAGGACGGCTGTGAAGAGGGCAGAGCCAAACTCCTCTCGGTTCTGGGGTGTAACAAGGGGCAGTGGCTCAAACTGCAATTTTGAGGTTCGGGTGGGACAGCAGGAAAAACTCCTCCAGAAGGTGCAGGTGAGAGAGCTCGTTACCCAGGCAGGAGGGGGGATCTCCAGGCTTGGATGGTTTCAGACATGGCCAGACAGAGCCGCTGCAAACCCAACCTAATGCTGCTGACAGCTGAGACTGAGCTAGAGACCTCCTGATGTCTCTTCCAGTCAACGCCTTTATGAATTTATGACTCACAATGTAAATCCTGCAAGCCACTCTAACATCACGGGTTGGAGCATGTACCATATTACATTTTAGTGGAAGCAGCAAGCTATAATTCTGGGAGTCAGTTTGAGATTCACACAGGAGGCGGAGAAGTGGTCTTTAATCATAGATCTGGGATTGGCTCACCTCTTTCAGAGCTTTGGTAAGTGATTTTTCTCCAAAGACTACTTCATAGTGAGAAGTTGCTCCTTTCCCTTGATGTTGAGTTCAACACTGTCTTGTACGACCATTTATGCTGTACATTTATGCCCATTACTCCGTTTTGGCTTTGTTGTCTAGCCATTGTACACAAGCTTGCAACCCACTGAAGGTGCCATGAAAATTAAGGTGCATAAACACCTTTAAGGACACCGGCCTTTACTTCCTTTTGTCCCTGGCACAGTATTCACTGACGGTGGCTTTCCCACACAGACACATACTATGATTTTCCACATTCTCTTCCCATAGAAACAGGAACATATGATACTGCACACTGTGAGAAGCTGCTCATTTTTCTATGAAACCACGATACGGAAGGAGCAACCATTTGAGATGCTGTATAGACAGACCTCCTTTGCAGGTAGGTAACAAGGGCTGGCTTACAAATAGAGTGATAATTGGTTTTTATATCCAGTCAGTGATATCCTTCCTTTAACAGAAGAGAAGATGGAAATAAAATCACAAGTCTGGGTGGGTTAGGAATGTCACCTGGGAGCAACTGGGTCTTCCAAGCGCAGAAGTGGCTTTCAGTTGAGAGAAGATGGGGATGGATTGCAACTCCCGAGGACAAGGTGGGATGGGGAGAGAGCTGTGCTGAAAAGGGGACCGGGAACGGACGGAGCAGCACTGGAGGAGGACAACGGCCAACAGCTGGGACAGCAGCACATGGATGGGAGCAGGACATAGCGTCGGTGGGGGCAGAAGGAGGTTAGTGGTGGGCCGAGGGCAGGAGCAAAGGGAGCCGCAGCTCACGGTGGCGGCTGTGTGCAGGGTGGAGGTGCCCGCAGAGGAAGATGGCACCTGGGATGCTGGCTAACCACCAGAGCGGCAGGAGAGCGATGCCAGGTGGGGACAGTGGATCTCTGACTGCAGGCGCTGGTGCCGGGAAGAGGCAGGCGGGTGGTGAGGAAGCTTCGGCCGAGTGCGAGGTGTGGGGTTAGCTGGGGCACACCCAGATGCACCTGAGGGAAGGGGGTGGCGGCAAAGGGACCCAAGTAGCTTCGTGAAGTAATGGCGAGCAAAGGGCCGAGCTTGAGGGTCTTGGAGGGGGGGAGAAGGTGGGGGGGGGGGCAGGGGGGTGGCGTGAGGAGGGGGTTCGGTGGCTCCGGCGTCGGTCGCGACTGGGAGGTGGGTGGCAGTGGTGGGACGATGGCCACCCCAGGGCGAGTCGCTGCCGCAGTTAGGGGCTGTGAGGGCAGCGGACCGCCGTGGGGTGGGCGCCTGGGGCTGAAGGAGCCGGTGGGGCCGTTGGTGGCGGGGGGGGGGGGGGGGGCAGCCGCTGTCGGCGCTGACCCGCCCTAGGCTGAGGCGCCGCCATTTCCCCCTCAGGCAGCGCCGCGCGCAGCCGAGGGGGAGGTGGGGGGGGGGGGGGGGGGCCGCGCCCTTTGGCAAGCAGCGCGGGGCGGGGAGTGCGCATGCGCAGGCCCGGAAGGGCGGGGACACCCGCCTCCCCGCCCCGCCCCACCGCCCTCCCGCGGCCCGTACAGTAGGTGGAGTCACGCGGGTGGGGGGTCACATGACCGGGGCCCTTTACAGTAGGAGCCCAATATGGCAGCAGCGGCGGCGGGTGGAGGGGTCGTCGCGCTCGGGGCTCTCCGCGCCTAGGGTCGCCGCCGCCCGCTCCGCCATCCCCCTCCCCGCGCCCTTCTCCGCCTCCCCTCCCGGGCGGACGGACCCCCCCCCCAGGGTACCTCGGAGTCAGCTGCGCCCCGCCGCGTCCGACATGAGGGAGAAGGGCCGCAGGAAGAAGGGCAGGACCTGGGCAGAGGCCGCCCGGACGGTACGGGGGGCCCGCGGGAGGGTCGCTGGGGCGGGTCCGAGGCCTCCGGGGCCGTGGGGGCTCCTTCCCGCGGGGGCTCCTTCCCCGCTCGGAGCCTGGTGCGGCCGGCAGCCCCGGTGGCGGTGGTCGGTGTAGCCTCGGCCTTCGGCGGCGAGCGGGGCCGCCGGGACAGCCCGGTGAGGGGCGGAGGGGCGCATGGTCTGTGCTTCTCTCTGCCCGCAACTCTGTTCCAGCGCCGTGCGCTGGCATAGGCGGATCGATTTTTTTAATTATTTTGACCCGTTCTCTAGTTGTTTGAACGATTTTAGGTATGAGTTTATATGGGAAGCTTTGCGGGGGAGGGATTACCTCCATATTTGCAAAATGCTGTGATTAACGAGGAGGTAAATAATACTAGCAAACATGTGACGTGTACAATGTGTTTTTTTTTTTCACTATTCCCAGTGTATCGGTGTCTTTTATCCAGCAGAACGTGTTGCAGGAGGAGCCACTGAACTGCCTCAGGTCAGGCAGTAAGCTGTGAATGCTAAAAGGAGGATTTTTATCTTCTAACTTCCCAGTCTGACAGTCTTTATTACCAATGGTGGACTTGGCGGTGTTAGGTTTACAGTTGGACACGATTTTAAAGGTCCTTCCCAACCCAATTGGTTCCATGATTTTATACTCTTTTCAGGATGGACCTACTGTAGTTTCTGTCTGGGGCAGGCACGTTAGAGGGTGGATAAAAGAAAAGGGATGTTGAGTAGTGGGACAAGTGTAAGAGAGAGGAAACTAAACGAGTGCAACTTGCAGGAGCTGAACAGAAGAGTTGAATTGTGAAAGTACAGCACATGCTTCTGAGATATCTGTATTTGCAGTGCAGACCCAAATCTGTTTAATGGAGAGGGGGAGGAGTTTGGATTTTATCATAACCATTCTGAAAGAGGTATCTGTTAAAACAAGACTTGCAAAGTCTGGCTAGGAAGCAAATGTAAATAGGCATCTGCGGCTGAGGCTTGCAAGCACTGTTTTAATACATATTAATTTATTTGGACCTTGTACTTACAGTTTGAAAGGCATCAAAATAGCTGCTCTTCTTTCAGGAGATACGATGCAGTTAACTATTTTAAGAATATAAGACTCTATCCCTCAGGTGAACACTTTGGTACTTCTATGTATATGTTTCTGTGTATCTTCTTTTAACAGTTTGTTTAGAAAAAATACTGGCAGTATCTCCAGTGTAGGGTGTAAGCGGGACCAGAATTTTTCAGGCTGTGCACTGCTGCTCATCCACTGATCCCTTCCAGAATCCACTTAAAGGCTAAAACATGTATTTGGAAAAGCTGCACTGAAAACTATCAAAACTGAAGATTACACGTTACCTTGGGTCGCATACCTAGATTCATGGCAGAGGCAGCCAAAACTAGGAGAAGATGAGTGAATGTCTGCCAAAACCTCAGTTTTGGCAAATGTTCCTATTTGTGTATTCACCAGGAATGTTAAAATATTCTGGTCAAACTCCAACTCCAACCTTCAAACAGTTTCCCTGCGTTTTTGGTTTGAAACAATGTCTTTTGATTCTTGCCCTAGCTTGTGTGCTCGTATTGGCTTCACAGCTGCCAGTGGTTGAAGTTTGTAGGATATATTATAAAGCCGCGTTAAGAAATGCGGCAGCTCCCGGGTACCCTGTTCTTCTGCCCCTGAAAGGTAACATGAAGTTTTCCTCAAACTTGAGAAACCTTCCATTTTGTCTTCAGCATAGTGTTGCACCTCTGTGCTCTTTTGCAGAGTTAGTTCACTCGCTGTGGGGGGAGCGAGCCCTTCTAGTCAGCGTGGAGCTGCAGGGGAAGGGGCTTGGGCTGGCGGGTTTAGAGGCTTTAGACCTGCTTGTCCTGGCAGACTGCCCAGTGATGGTCCCTGCACACCAGTGTGAGGTCATCACAGCTGATGGCAATTCTGTCCCCCCTCTGCCTCCTCACTCCCTCTTGTCACCTCACTGCTGGTGCTTGTAGGTGGTTCAGGGAGCTAAACCAGCAAAACCCCATCATCATTATTATGGTGCTGAGCTGGCTTCATGCCAGTTCAGTCTTCCTAACCAGGTATTTGGGATTAGGTGTCCTCCAGTGCAAGGGAGAGGATGGGAATGTGGGGAAGTGAGAGCGTCAAGGTAATGTCTGCTTGAAATAGCTTAACCTGTTGAAGCAGTTCAGTGTTAGCTGGAAACAAGGTGGTAAGCGACAGAAGCGTGGTGTTTTTGTCTGATAGAAGGACCTGGGGTAGGTATATGGGTAACGTGGGTTCAGTGGGACTCAAGCTGTGCTTGCTCTTAGGTGTATAGGACTAGTAATTGGAGCAGAGTTACAGTGTGAAGTAAGGAAAGGGTGCCCCGTGCGGGCAGTGTGTTCAGGGAGGAAGTTACTGTTGATAAACAACCTTTTTCTTATTTCCTGGCTCCTTCAGTAGTTTGCAGCTGCAGATGACTGTTAACTTGTGACTTTTCTTGGGACAATGGCTGGGTGTCCCTGCAGAGAGGGACCAGAGCACAGCCGAATGCTCTGTGCATCATCTTGCTGCCGTCCTCTGCACAGCTGTGTGATGGAGCTCGGCGGCGAACGGGCTGTTGTGGGGTGTTAGTGGCCGGTTTAGATCCAGACAAGAAGTCCTGTTGTTGGACAGAAGCCACAAACAAGCTGTCTCTGTGCTTTGTTTGCGTGGAGGAAAGTGCATGCTGTCATGTGCCAAGTTTGAAGAAATTTGGTGTTTGTTTTTCTTGGGAAAGTCCCTGTGTGTGACCTGACAAAGCAGTTTTCTGCTGTATGGCCTCCAAGCACCAAGGCATAGGGGCCGTGCAGATGTGGGCTGGAGGTGATCTCCATAAATGCTCCTTGGCCAGGTCACCTGGGAACACAAATGCAGTTTTTATGCTACCTGTTTGTGAGAGGGAGCTGCTGCAGCCGTGTTTTTTCCTGCCTGCTGATTTCCTGTTGGGTCACACTGACTTTGTTAGCTTTGGAGGGTGGAAATCCAGTGTGAGAATGCCCTGGGGAAAGCAGACAGAACCTAAACACGTTGCGGTGGGCATCTCTGAAGGTGTAGATGTCCAAGTATGAGTCCTGCTGTGATGCTGGCAGTTACTGTGCAGCTCTTGTGCTGTGAACTCAGCTTCTCTCTTGCTCTCGGGGTTTGTTTGCATCACTTGTGTCAACTGAAGAATTAAAATGAAAAGACGTGCCATCTCTGAAACTGATAGCGCAGAACATACGATCTGATCTGGTGATGGCGGGCCCGTCTGCTGTGTCAAACAGAAGATAATGTTGTTAGGTCAAAAGGTGAAGTCAAGTAGAAGGCTTATTTGTTGGGGAAACAAATGGCATGCTTTTGGAAGTTGACTTTATTAAGACTGTCCTTTTTGTTAAGGTGCAGTTTTCTGGAGGGAGATGAAGTGAGGGATCTGAGGGATGCTGTTTTCCTCTGCTTTCTGTTAAAGATGTATGCAGAAGAGAGGGGGGAAGGATCCAAACTGTAGAAGTTTCCCACTTGTTTACAAATACTTGAGTCCATTTCTCTCCTGCCTATACAAAGCTGAATTTCTGCAGAGGCTCCAAGACTGCTGTGAAAATATGCAAAAATTCAAGGGATTCTGTAAAACATCAGTTTGAGGGTCTGATCAGCCAAGTAGACAATGCTGCTATTTTTTTACTACTACATATTTCATGTGCCCAGCTACAGCTTTTCAGGGTATAGGTTGGCAGAGCTGTATTGGTTGTGCCTGCAGGTTGTTTTTTGAGAGCAGTACTTGGTTTAACTGGCTACAGAATGTATGTGATGTCTGAGATGGGCTTTTTCATTTCACCAGTCCTTCAGAGGTCTGACAGCGCAATTGGAAAAAATCTGGAGGATGATTTGGAGCACAGCAGGCCCTTCCTGGTGAATCTGGGAACTGGCTTTTCACTTTTCAGCGAGGTATTGAACCAGGTAGCACTGTAGAAAGTTAAATGATTAATCAAGGCTTGTGAAATGGGTGATAGTTGAAGCTGGTAAGGCTTCTTGCATTTTTTATTTTTTGTAGAAGGTCGTTCGTTGCTGTGTGTTAGGTTTTTTGGTGGTGGTGTTTTTTCTTGTTTGGTTTTGTTGCTGTTTTGTGGTTTGTTTGTTTTTTTTTTTTAATCCCCTAAGTGTTGTCACATACCTCCTGTTCTCAGCTTGTGCCCAGGTATAAGACCTGTTTCCACTGAGAACAAGAAGTGGGGGGCTAAGGCAGGTCTGAGTGCTTTTGTGGAGGTTTCTGCGGGACAGGTGTGGTGCCGTTGGTAGCCACGGCTCTGGTGACCAAGCCATTGTACAGGGTCCTTCTGCCATGCGATATATCTATGTGTCTGCTAGCCAGGAAAATACCTTGGCAGTGTTTCTAGAGAAACAGACTCGTGGCTGCACAAGACTGAACAGAAGTTGGCACAAACTTTGTCATGTGTAAATAGAGAACTGCAGTTTTCTTCTCTACTTACTCATACTCATCTTTTATTGACCACAGCACTTGAATATATTTTTTCTGCATTTTTTCAAGGGTGGGTTTTTTTTTTTTGAAGGACTTAAATGTAAAGTCAGCAATTGCTCTGCAAATGCGAGCTTTGTGTTGGCCCAGCGTGGGTTGTATCCTCGGATATCAGCTCTTCTGGATGGTAGAACTTCTTGTGAACTGAAAGTTGCTTTAAACTCATCTTGGGAATCTGTAAGAGACAAATGGAGGCTTAAAAAATTGGTTCTGATATGGAAATAGAACTTGGAAAGGATGAGGTGGAAGAGTAATCCACTTTAATTGCTGTAGCAAACCGGCAGACTGCAGAATCCGTCCTTCTTCCAATCGCAATAATCCATTTATTTGCCTGCCATTTTAAAAGCTAACTTCCAACTCATAGCCTGTGTTCCTGCTAGGAACTTTAACCTCTTAAAGGCGTCAAAATCCCTGTGAGTTACTGCACATACCTGCTGCTTCGGATGTGCAGGAGTGCTTGCCCTGGCTG